ATTGGAACTTGGCCAAGTAATCTTCCCTAAATCTCCTCCTCCGTGCCTGAGGACGCGGCCTTTGGGCTGGGCTGCTGAAGCAGTAGGAGAAGCGAATCCAGGCCCTGCACTGCTCYGAGCGAGACCCAACTGCCCCAGGGACCTGCACAGAAGCTGGGTTAGAGGAGATGATGTTCAGGCAGAAAGGAGACAGCGAGGAAGAGGGAAAAGGCAGAGCAGCAGAGAGAGAATCCCAGAAAACCAGAGACAGATTTACTCATTTCTGACCCTGCCTGCGTGCAGCACCCAGTGCGGGGCTTGGGCCTCATGTTCTGCAGAGCCAGCTAACGTGCCTGCTTGTTGCCTAGCTGCCTTCCCCACGGCCAAAGCCCACCAAAAACTCCCCAGAAGAGAGGACCCAGGTCTGCCAGGGCCATGGGCTGTTTCACCGGGTGTCCACACCTGAGGCTGTCCCTTCAGGTCCCCTCCCACTGCTCCYTGGGCTGCACTGGTAAAGCTGGATTCTCCCAAGAGGTGCCAGGCTGAGTTATCTTCACAGAGCATCACGTGCTGAGGYAGGCGCTGCCACAGCACCAGGTTGTGGGCTCTATGTCTCCTAGAATAGCAAACTCTTTAAGGAGTGTGGGACAGCATTTGATGGATTGGTCATTAAGGTACTCAAAAACAAACCAAGACCATCCAGAGTTCACWAAATCAGCAGTCCTCCCCTTGACACGTACACTCACACCACAACCTCGCAGCCCACAGGCCACTTATTCCCAGCTCACAAGTCATCTGGAGAACCATCCCTGAGAAATATTTGCCATCTCCGGCCAGGGTGGTGTAACCATATCGCTGCCTCAGGGTGAGTCGTCCGTCCCTCAGCRAGGACGGCCTCGCGTGCCGCCTCGCACCGCAGCGGCACCGCGGGCAGCGAGGAGGGAGGGTTTTTCCTATCGCCCCCAGCCCTCTCAGCTGGACGGTTGCTCCTTGCTGCTCGTATTCCACAGCGTAGGTCCTTCTTGGCAGGCCACTTATTCTACATGTAATACTAATTATTATTCTGTCTTTCAGATGGAAACATTTTTTCCTTCTGATGAGGTGTTTCCCCCGTGCTAACCTGCTTTACCAACACACACCGCCCTCTGCCCGGCTTCCCAGGGACAGGCCCCCTTGGTGCCAGCGAACGCAGGTGCCCCGTGCCTGGCAACACCACCTCCAGCTGAAGTTACACRTAATTAGCATTGATGTGGAAGTGTGACCTGCTTGACACATCGCCTTATAAACTAACAGTTTCTTTCCAGAAGTGACTTCACGATGTTTGTCGTGCCCTCATGGGGACAGAAATGTCATGGTTATAGGTGGAACTTTCAGTGCCAGGTTCACTGAAGACCCACAGAAAAGTGTTGGGTTTTGACTAGCTTTTGCTTTGTGCATTATCTTGAAAACCCTCTCCTGACCTTGAAAGTGCCAGAGTGTCAGGCCTTTTTGTGAAAGGGCATGTGGGAAAGCACATTCACACCTGACAGCTAGGACTCAGATTTTTCCTTTGGACCCTTATTTGTGTTGTTTTTTTTCTTTAATGTCATCACATGCAAGAAAACTGGTGAGCTCAAGGAGCAGGTAATGGGTATTCAAGATACCTTAGGCCTGAAATGATTCAATCAAGGGAAGACTGGAAGTGACTGAAGGTTGCTCTAGTCCTGATGCCAGGCTGGTCCACTTTGGACAAGGCAGCTGTTCCTGAGACCCACACTGAAAATCCATGCACTGAGCCAGCACCTTTGATGGAAAGATCAGGAGTGAAGCCCAAGACTGGATGGGCCTCCAGCTTAAACTGTCCTCTGATCCAAGGYTGTCCCTCAGCACCACAAATGAAGAGCTCTGCATGAGGAATCTTGCACACGCTGCTACTTTTGCTGCCAAGCGTTAATTCCTCACCTCCCAAAGTGATATCTTTACAGGGGATAACTTCATCCACAGAAATGGTCCTGGTGGTAAAATTATGGCCAAGATTCTACATTTGGGCTGAATTTACTGATGTTGATGTGCAGTACCACCACTGGAAAATTAGCACAGAATCGTATCTTGGAGTGCAACCAGGAACAAGATTATAGCAATATCCTGCACTGGGAGCAAGAAGCTGAACTGGTTCTGAAACGAACCTTGATCCATTTACACTTGCTGGAGGCAGCTCTACCCCTTGGTGAGAGGCAGTCACTTTTCTCCTGCCTCCATCACAGCTTTTTGGGCAGGAGATGGGAATGCAGAGAGGACTGCACCRTGCTGCCACCACACCTGAGTAGCAGAGCCCTCATTTCCCTCCTAGCTGAGGAAAGGATGGCTTTAGTATTTTCCAGCTCTGCAGAGAAGGGCAGAGGGAAGAGTGTTGAGGGAAGCTCAGGTTGGCCTCAGTCAGGACTCTCTCAGTTTCTCAGGGTAAAAAGGGGAAGCCAAATTAATATCTTGCCCTAACAAGTTATTTTGTACTCATCAGTTTCAGAAAAATCCCGTTTTATCACCACTGCTGAGAAGGCTTGCAGTGGCTTGAGGATTATAGAATATGATGGCTTCCACCCAGAACAGTGTTCCAATTGTATATTATCTGTTCATGTGGATACACTAGGAAAGCCACCAAAAAAAAAAAAAATCCATCACCAGACAAATGGTCATTTTGTACTCAAGTTTTGTACACTTTTCCAATTCTCACCAGTCAGTAATGATTGTGCTTGCGTCAATACRAGTCCCATGTAGGCAGTGAGATGCATGATTTATACAAGTGAATTCACTTGTCTCCTAAGAGAGGACAAAATTCAGGGTACAACATCAGCTCTTTTCTCCTGTACTCCTTTTTTCTTGGCCATGGCTTAGCTGAAGGCCGAATATGTCAGATTTACCTCAATATGATTCCAGGGACTGATCTGGAATTAATTTGACCCAGTAAGTCTTTTTGATTGCATCAGGCCTTTCAGAAGTTTTGAACAACAAGGATCTAAACAGCAGGCAGTAATCTGCACAAAAACAACCTCTGCAGTTTAGGGAATTTTAAAAGTCTGTGTCTCTTTTTCCTTTTTTTTTTTTTTTCTTTCTTTTTTTTGGTTTCAAATGCTTTCCAACTGAGCAAACGCTGCAGTGAGTTCATGGGAGAAGGCCTTGAGGCACCCCTGACTTTGGCACCATTATCCCATAGACACTCCATACATTTTTGGCACCTTACAGCAGACACATTGACAGCTACGGGGTTGATGGAAAGGGAAAGAAGCTGTTTTGCAGTCCAAAGAGAATGTACTCAGATTTCTAAGGCTATTTGAAAAAATGCCAGAATGATACTTGATTTCAGCATTYTTAAACTCCTTTAAGATGATGCAGCAAGTGGTCTTTTCCACATGTGATGATGTATTTCAGGACAAGAGTTTCTTCAAGATTTTCCAAGCCTGTGGGCTCCTCATCCTTTTTCAAATTACAGAGATGATAGCATACCGGGGAGAATTGTGATTAGTCTAAACTCTCCACAGCTGCAAGGGATGAATGTAAAAATTCCACCAAAAAATCCACTTCTTCTGGATTGAATTTACCTACATGACACCGAGTCCTAACCAAGGGACCACTTGAAAGAGCTGGAGCAGCATCAACACTATTTGGTTTCTTCCATCACATCAACCCAGGGATGGCCCGCAAGACCTCTGCCCAACACATCTCCCAGCAGCKCTGTCATTATACGGACTGTGGTATTAAAGGAGCCCTGAGATGCGCAGGGAGGAAAACAACGATGAAATAAAGCCTCACGTAMGAGGGGATTCAAACAGGGCTTGCAACTCATTACTGGAAATGCCAGGAGGATTGTAAAACACCTTGTAACCGAGAGGCTTTGCTGGGAGCTCTTAAGGACTGCAGCCCCCACTTCATCACCGGCTGACAAGTTTTGAGCAGTCTCGGCAAGGGGGGCGAGCGCTGAGCTCCCTGTCAGCTGACCACAGGAGATGGCAATGCTTTATTTTACTTAACAGGACCTTTCTCTTTCCAAATTGCTTCCTTGAGTTTCCAATCAAACATAATAATCTGCAGCATTCACCTCCAGCGTTTTTCTTGAAGCATCGGCATTGACACAGTTGGCTGCGCGCCCACCTCCAAACGTTTGACCTTCCACTTGTCTTTGAAGACAGAGGAGGCCGGAGCACGTGTTGGGAGACCAGTGACTGGCACCCGCGAGGAATGCCTGGATTTATGAACAYGGAAAAGAGGCAAGGTTCTACTGTTGCAGAAATTACCTCAAAAAGACTGAATAAAGTTTGCGTGTTTGGGGCTGGGAGAAGGGTCCTGCTTTGCCACCCCGTCCTTGCCGATGTGTCACCCTGAGCCTCGATGTGTGAGCTCTGCACTTGGGGACAWCCCTGTCCTTAATGGGGCCAATTCTCTCTTCTCAACAAGCATTTGGCCTAAGCAAAGGGCAGGATTCTCCCAGGGCCCCACCACACTGGGACCGTTTCCTCACAGTGGCAGCAACACGTAATAACGTGGCTTCTTGTTGCTTTACACAAGCAGAACCGCACAAAATACTGAGCTACGTTAAAAATACACCAAGCAGACAGCCTATTTCCTGTCTTTAGCGCGGCCCTGCACCCACATGCCGCACCGAGGCCCTGGAAGGGGGATCAGCGCGCGGTCCCCCCGAGCCTCGGGCGGCAGCGGTAGCGCGCGGCGCGGCGGGCGCAGGCTGCCCTAGTGCGGCGGCGCGCAATTGCTTCCCATGCGTAGTCGTGGCCGAGTGGTTAAGGCGATGGACTAGAAATCCATTGGGGTCTCCCCGCGCAGGTTCGAATCCTGCCGACTACGACCGGGGCCGCGGCGCCCCGGGCGCCGTTTTTGTTTGCCGCCCGCCCGAGGCGGGACGCGGCCGACGGGGTCGCCGCGCGCGCGCTCCCGCCGCCCCCGCGTCCCCCCGCCGCCGCCGCCGCCGCGCGCTCCCGTCCCGCGCACGGGGCGGAGTCTCCGCGGCCGCCGTGGCAACGGGCGGCGACAAAATGGCGGACGAGCTGGAGCGGCTGCTGGACGAGGTGGAGCGGCGGCTGTGCCGCCCGCCCGCGCGCGCGGCCGGCGATGGCGGCCCGCGGCAGCCCGAGGAGGAGGAGGAGGAGGCGGCGGCCGCCAGGTGGGCGGGCGGGCCCGGGGGAGGCTTTGGGGAGGGCGATAGTCACAGCAGGTAAGAATAAATTTGTCTCTTAAGAGAGTCTGGACCTCGCAATAGCTGCGCTGAGAGCTGTGCTCGTTTGCTTGTGCTGCTCRCCTGCATCACGGCGCTCAGGCCGTATAACTGTGTGCGTGAATCCGGTTTACAGCAGCAGGAGCTTCTCCAGCGCTGTGTTATCAAACGTTTTGTCTGTTGGTGCTTCTGGGAGCTCTCTTAAATGCGCCCGCAACAGTAAGGACAGAATTTATTCTCTTTGCTTCGATTCAAATGTCATAATTTTGACAAGACCGCTTCGGCCTGGCCCAGCCTTGGCCGGTCCGGGAGGGCTCGGGGCCCTGGGTGGCCCCTGCGAGCATCACGGGTGCCTCGCAGCCTGGACAGGGGTCTGGGGGTGTCACTGCCCGTCCGGAGGGGTCACCCAGCCCCCCGACACCGCCGCTCGCCACCCCGGGCRCTGCGGGCTCCCTCAGCCGTAGGGATCGTGGCTGCATGGCCGGCACTAGCCAACGAGGCCTCCGTGTCCAGCCCCTTGCCAGGCTTCTCCATGGCCCGCGTGCTGCTTACCTGGCATCTCAATTAGATCAATCTGATTCCAATATATCTGAAAAACTGCACTGTTCTTTCTCGGAAATAGATTCGTTCGCAGCGTGTGGATGCAGCGGGACCACCGGCCTCCCTTTCTCTGACAAAGAACTAGCAAGTGGCAGACGCGAGTGATGAGGCTTCACCTGAGTGCAAGCAAAGTGCAGGTGGATTCTCTARATTCCCACAGCCTGGCAGAAATTGTACATTGTGCAAAAGCATTGTTGATACATAACCAGACAACTTTTCTGTCAAGATGGCTTTTATAAAATGACTGCCATTGCAGGATTGTGGCCAGTAAATCCCTTATGGTAGATGCATGGATCTGCCCATTGCTTTGCAAGATTGAAGGTGATGTTTTCTTTCAGTACCTTTGCAGCTGTCAAAATGCACCTATCCTGGGACTGCAGTATTGCTGAATTATTGCATGAAAATATTTTCATCGTGAGCTTCCAAAATTTATTTGAGAGACGCTGCTATGATTTGCCTGCCAGTCAGTTGATCGGACTGAGTTTTCAAATTAAACCCAATTCTGATGTAGCTATCTTATCATCTTAGCATTGTTTTCACTTTTATCCCAACCCTTGCTGTTGTATCACGGTCAGATATCACAGTCAGAACAACTGAGTGCAGGTTGTGTGTCCTCCACAGCTCTGCGACCTGGGTACCAGGCTAAGGAGAGGTAAATTGCAAACATCCACTTCAAATCTATTTTCCAAAAGATGAGCGTTGTAAGAATGGACCATATTCCACTTGTTTGGTTGGCTTTTATTCACATGTGGAAGAACATATATGCTTTCCCTATGGGATCTTAGGAATTTAAACAAGGCATCACCTTTGAAATAGCTTCTTTCAGCCAGTACGTTGCAGCCTGGCTTTGACCTTTGTTGGGTTTCTTTCTTGACTGCAGACTCGTGCTGCAAAATGTTTATTACTATGTTTTCATCTTTTCAGGCTTCTGTGAAGGAGACTGATCCACCCTTCTTCTTCAGTCAGGTCTGCTGTTACTGAGAGAATTACATATTTGATAATCCTCTCAGTATTATCTGTGTCATCCCCTTTGTCATTTCAGATGCTTATTAATATCCTTTCATCCATCAGCATGCTCACTGAGTCATCCTTTTGAAACAGGATAGAGAGCACAACATCTTGTGGCTGCAGTATTAAATGACACTCTGTATATGGTGAGAAAGACCACACATTTCCAAGCAACATCAGCATCTTATATCAGWTAGGCCAAGGAAAATGAACTTTCCAGATACATCCAGTCTTGTGCTTTTAGKTTTTAAGGACTAATGTGTAATTAAACCAATCATGCTATGTGTAAATAGCCCTTCCCTGTGCAAATAAGTCTGTTAACAAAGGCTCTGTGGTTTCTGGATTATAAAATAAAATCAATCACTGGTGCTCTACTCAAAATAATAAATAGAAAGTATTTTGATATGGGTCGTTTTTGATTGTTTGTTTTGTTTTACTAGAAATTCTGTGCATCACCAGGCTACAGACACAGAATTTAGTGATCAGATTCATCATTTCCAAAACTAAGTTGCTTTAGTTATTTTATTCTGACACAATTCCATCCAACACTGCTGGGCACGGGGAACAGTGGCTCTTGCGCRAACATACTAGGTGGGATGTGTGAGCTGTAAAGTCTATCAATTTTAATGTCTGATTTGGAGCATTATTTCACTGTTCTAGAGATGTTCGTATTTGAACTAGTCTGAAATGGTTAGGAAACAATTGCACAAAATAGTATGTCCTAACTTGTATTGTAAGTTCTGTAGCATGGCTGGAAAGCTCCCATAGATTTTTCAGTATTTCTGCTGCTGAAAAATAAAGGCTGTCCAATTTCTTCCTCAGTTATCCCATTTTTATTCAGTGTAAAAATGGTTGAAAATAAAGCAAATGAAAAATGGGGAAAAAAAAAAAAAAAAAANAAAAAAAAAAAAAAAAAAAGATGATGGTCCAGTTCATCTGGCACTGAAAGGAGTTATCCTGCAGTCTAGATCTGATCCATCAAGATTTGGATAGCCTTAGTTAGTACTACTGAAATATAAAAGGGGAAAAAGCTGTAATGAAATGATCATTTTATTAAAACAAAGACTTTATTTGTTTTTTTGTTGTTGTTATTTTGTTTTTCAGATCATCTAAGCTATTGAAGAGTGCTGGCAGCACTGAAGAAAATATAGACGATATTTTTGATGAAATCTGTAATGACAATAGTTTCCCCAAAACACCTCAGGTGAGTAGAAGCCTGGAGAAATGCAGAAAGGATGAGCTTCAATAGAGAATAACACCATAAACTAAAACCATTTTCAAGCAAAAATGGAATTTAAATGGTCTGTAGGATAAACTTGAACAGTCAAGCAGGACGGAAACTGCAGGAGTCCCTGGAGAGTGAGGAGCTGGAGAGATATAAAGACACAGTCTTAGRCAGTGATAGGCAGCTATAGGAAGTGCCAGTTCAAAGAAGGGCATGAGGTCATGTATCAGGGCAGTGTAAGTTAGTATTTTGTCTGAAATGAAGGACTTTTCCAGCCACTGAGCCSCCAGCCTGTGCTGCTGTGTGAGGTTATGCCTTCCCAGCTGCAGGATTTTGCATTTCCCCTTTTTGAACTTCATGCAGTTTCTCTAAACTCTTTGTCCAGCCTGTCGAGSTCCCTCTGAATGGCAGCACAAGTGTCTGGAGTATCAACCACTCCTCCCAGTTTGGCATCATCTGCAAATGACTTCTGTATTTAGCAGCCAAAGGTAGAAATGAAGCTGCAGATTTATGTGGTGAGGACAAGCAGGAGTAGAGAGTCATAGAAGAAGTTTTAAAGGAAAATATTAGAAGGAAGGTGTAAAATACTAAATTGTGAATGTAATGACAAAGTGATCAAATGGTCTTGAATTTCCTCAGGTAGGATCGGGGAGCTGACTAGGGAGGCTATTAGCAGAGTATTGTGTAAAAGCCATGCAGAAAAGGCCTTACATTGTGGATCTTAGTTAGGCATTAGAGACGTGTTGGGCTGTTATTCTTTTTTTCAGCTATTTATGAACAGACACAGAAGGTAATTGCAGATACCGAGCAAATTTGAAGGCAAAAAGCCCAAGGTTTGTGAATAATAGGCCCTTAAATTCTTTTCACGTTTAATTTTCAGACCATTTCATGGTTCTGGCTATTAGAACTCGGTTTTAAAATATGAATACTGACTTTTTATGGTTGGACTTAATGATCTTGAAGGTCTTTTCCAACTGTTACGATTCTGTGATTCCCTGCTCAGCTTATGTGTTTAGGAATGGTATGGTTTGGGGTTTATTGGGAGGAGGGGAGTTATTTTTGTTTTAATTGTTGGCAATCTGTAAGAACCAGAAGATATGAATGACATTTATTTCAGTTTTGTATTTTAGCTCATATTTATTTATTCTCCATCTTCTTGTTATCTCCTTCCGTTTACCAAGGAGGTTSTTTGGAGAAGCAGCCTGCTCTCTTCCTTTCTAGAAAACACTATAAAGTGGAGCTTGCATCTGAGGAAAGAGCTGCCTGGATCAAGCAGCCTGCTGTCAGCCAGCTTCCCTGTCCAGCTGTTATTCCAGCAGATTTTGTCTCAAAGAGTCTTGCAGAAAAGAGCAAGAAAATTCCCCTTTTCTCAGCCCTCTTCTTCTGTTACTGTCATTTTCCCTTTGCTATTAAGTAAACCCAAAAGTTGTTATTGTGTTATAATGGTTCCTTTTTCTCTTTGACTCTGTGTTGTTTTGCTTTGTTTTTTAATAGAAATCAAAGTCTAACTCTGCAAGGGCTGCACCTCACAGCAGTAGTCTTATTACGCAGGTCTATGGGAAAAGGTAAGTGGCAAATTATTTGGTCAGTTGAACGCAATTATAGCATATCATCAATTTAATAGATATTACTACTGTTTAAATTATGTTGAAATTAAATAAGAAAGAAAGAAGTAGTTCTTTGAGATTTTTTTTTGAGAAAGCACAGGTAAAATATACAGGTTAATTCTGAAGAACTAATAGTATGTTYTCATGATTATATACAATTTAAATAATTATTGAAGCACAGCTTCCTTTACCTTATGGATACACCCAGTTATCAAAAGCTACAATATGTAGTCTTATGTATATTGGATATAGAGAGTGGCTCTCACAGCATTTTTCTTTGAATGCCTCAGTAATGGACATTTTAAAATTCTAGTTTGTAATATTTGAATGTTTTACCTGTGGTCAATAAGCCATTGCTGTAGAAATACCATGCCTGGATGTTACAGGAAGAAAAATCTTGTTGGAAAGGCACACATACTTGAAGCAGTATTACACGTAACAGCCCGATTTAGTATTATGCTACCTCTCAAAATGTTTTACTGCAGTTTAATATTTTTCTATGAAATCACTGTAGGTGCTGTCCAGTGTATCTGGGTGGAAGCTCTTCACCATGTGGTGTAGGAACAAATATTTCAAAAAGGTAGGGAAAATGAGAAAAAAAAAAAAAAAAAAAAGGTTCTGTTTGTCTCATCATTTTTATCACCATTCTGTGTTTCTGTCATGGTCCAGCGTGTATTCTGAGTCTGCATTTTACGTGGCAGCTACGTACTCATTTCAACCTCTGGCCACCCAAAACTGCCATGAGAGTCAGCCAGTTCTTTGCCATTCCCTGTTCTTGATGAACAAATCTTTGCCTTGTTTGTGTGAGGAGTTGAAAGATATGTAGAAATGAAGCAATAGACTGCAAAAATAAAGTGTACCTTGTAGTTAAGGAAATTATTGTGTTTTTTTCCTGCCTCTCCTCAGCCTTCTGTGTGATGCTGAGTATGTCACTTCAGTCATGGGGCCACTTTTCCCAGGAGCTTGGCCTGAAGATAGGCAGAGAGCTCTGCAGCTGAGCTTGGTGGGAGCAGTGCTTAACGATGCCCCTCCAACACCCTATGGAGCATTTTATCCTCTTCATCTAGCATTTCGCTGTAGTAAGTCATTGTGCACTTGATGCATACTTGGAAGTGCTGAGTGATATCAATGAAAAGGATAAAAGACAATATATTAAGAGAAATCAGTTTATTTCATACATTCAGTGAGGTAAGGAAAATGATATGTGATATATATAACCAAAATACSTCTGTGTGCCAGAGATGTACACATTTAAGATTAGAGGCTAGCCCTTCTTCTGGCATTTTTGGATCAATACTTTCTGCATAGTAGCAGAAAGTATTTTATAGTGTTCTTGTGTAATTTCTCTGCATATAGTAATTTCTTGGGGATTTGGTTCTCTTTTCTGTGACAGAACGTGTGACCAACTGCGCTGCACTGCTTGTGACTTCCGTGTGTCCCTTTACAATGACTACAAATGGGATCAGTCCTGTGATTACCTTTTTTTCAGGTATGCTGCAGGTGGGTTTAGTGCCAGTCCTGGGTTACTGTGTTCAGCACTGTGTACTGTGAGCAGCCTGTGTGACCATGACGTGGGGAAAGGGATGCAGCACCACCCACAATCACAGTTCATTCGTTCCCCCTCTTCTATGTATCTACACATCTCTGCTTTTAGAAAGAATCCAAGTTTTATGGATCAAGCAGCAGCTTTACTGCTGAAATAAACAGGTGCTCTGTGTATGTGGGTGCTGCTTTACTCCAGGGTATTTGGCTTATTCTTTCATACTCACTAGAGTTGGTTTTCAGTCGTTTTTTTCTTTTTTTTTTTTTTTTCTGATATTGAGCATAACGGCATCTGTATAACATGTTCAGTGAAACTTGCACAGTTTCATTTCTTAATAGACTTCTTTTTAAAGTGAAGTCCACTTAATTGGAGAAGTGAAATTTTGTTTTCTTGTTATATTGTGCTGCCTTTACCATTTCTCATTTCATTTTATTGGACGTTTTGAAAGTAAAGAGTTTTTATTTACAGTTCCTCTAATGGCAAGACTTTGGTGAAATGTAGTGTGGCAGGCATTCTCCTAATATAGACATAAAATTTAAATTCCCCTTGTTTTTATAAAGTCTCTACATGTTCCAGATCACTAATCTAGGTAATTAATGTGTTTTGAGCATATGCTTGGCCACCAGAGGGTGTTACAGCTGATGTAGATAGACACTAATGAATAAATCATCCCTATTTCCTTTCCTTTCCTTTTTTTTTCCTCTGCATGCTGTGTTTACCCTGCATTTTCCCTCTGTTTAGAAAAAAATGAATAAAAGACTTGTGATTTTTTGTGGTATTGAAAGCAGGATTAAAAATGCAACACTGCACTAGTCTTCTTAAATGAGTTTGGTAGTTAGAAAGATTAAATAAAAATGATTCTTTCATTTAATCAAAGTCCAAATTATTCTGCCTCCGAGATCTTGAATTAATAGGAAACCCAATGCAGTGGAAGGCTTTGCTATGAGATAATAAACTCTTTCTTTGGAGCCTGAAGCAGGATCTCTGAAGCTGACAGAGAATTTTGTTTACAAAAACATTAAGCTTCAGTTGATCCGAAAAGAAAGCAACTCCACACTGAAACCTTCTCTCAGAAAAAGACTGTTCAAAAAWAAAATTTAAACATGTCTGATAATTTATTGGTGATGGTGGCCTTCAAAAATGTGCTTACGAGCTTTTCTGTTTTGAAATGGCCTCATGAGTCATTTTACTTAATTAAAAAAAAAAAGTCTAATCTTAAACTAACTCCCTTGATTGACAGGAATAACATGCCAGACGTCAGTAAGCTGAGGGCGAAGATGATCAGGAAGAAAGGCTCRCGGGCCTACGCTTGTCAGTGCAGCTGGAGAGCCATCGACGAGCTCACCGACCTCCAAACAGAGCAGCAGCTCCGCTGGGTTTGTGGTAAACACACAGAGTGAAGTCCTCTTGTGGGAGAGCTACGTTGATGCAAAAGCAGGTCACAAGCTCAATTTGTTTCCCACAGAGTTTTCTCTATGCATGGGAACTCGAATACTTCTAGAAATAGATGGTAACACCCAAAGCTCAAACTGAAAAGGCTTTTTTTTCACTTTAACTGTCCTGCAAACCATATGAGGAGTCAAATTGTTACAGTAAGAGCCAATTTGGAGGCTTTGGGGAGTCTAAATGAACTTAAAGTCCATTTTCAGTTATGCTGAGGAAAGCAAGAGGAAATTAAGCAACTTAGGTACACGGCAAAAAATCGAAGAATATCAACACCTTGGCTGTGTTCCTCATATCCAGCACAGAGCCCCATTTCCCACATCTGCAAAATCTGGGACTCAGAAAATGATGGGCTGAGATGTAGCCATAACACAAGTATATGAATTTCTATATGGAAATTAATATTACCATTCCACTTTTCCCATAGCTGTCAGCAGTCATAGATCTCCAAAAATATTACTGCAAGATCAGCTCTCACCACAAAGGTTTTGGCACCCCCAAAACTTTGCTTTCTATTGCCCACCAGTAGCCAAGATCTGCAGGTGTTGGAAATTTCCTTCCTAGTTCCTACTCCCCTCCATATGTTTCTTTCTTCAAAGCTTTTTCTGCTGAGCAACGACTTTCTGTTGAAGTTCCTTGGACCTTTATCGYGTGGAATTTCTTGGGCTTCTCTTCAGCCTTCACTGCAAGAGGTGAACAGGTTACTAAACAATACTGTGCACTTTATAAAGTATTTTGAGGAATATTTGGTTCTGTTCCACCAATATTTTCAAGGAAAAAAATGGACTTTAAGASTGAGAAAAATATATCCCTACTGACTTTCATATTGGGATTTTTTTCAGTTTACATAGTTCAACTGAAAATACTACACATTCAGAGAGGATATCTGTCCCATTCYGACACTTACGCCTCCCCCAATAACATCATAATATCTTGTAGCTTGGCGAGTGGTTTTAGTTACAGTTAATGTTACTGTAGTTTATTACCTTCTTCCTTTTCACTTTTTAATAAGTCCGGAATTGGTTTWAGGTTTTTTTTCAGCGGAAAGGAAAGGGTTACCAGTTAAAGAATGTCCCATGTTCCAAAGAGAGACAGTGAGAACATTTCAAAATGAGGTGTAACTTGAAAAAAAAAAAGAGAAATCTGTCAGTATTTTTTGCTATGCAATATGTGATGCCGTATAGATAAATTCAAAATGACTTGCTTTCTGCAATTCCAGTTACACAGAAACATTTATGTTTTTATGAAGTTTTGCTCACTGCTCTAAACTGTACATGGTCCATTTTGTTCTGAGTTTTTCCAAGGCAATTACATGCTCTTCCTTATGGAAGTCATGTAGGGAATCATCAGCTTTGTCTGTACCCCTCTGCAAGAGCAGGGCCTGGCGATGGCCAGAGGTGCAGGGCATGTTCTGCATCCCAACCATCGTCCCTTGGGTGAGTGTTGGTGTGGAGCYGTGGAGGACCTGCAGCTTGTGAGGGCCTGGCACCACCTGCACACTTTTTGGGTTCACATTTCCAGAGATGTGCCGATGATCCCATGCTTGGCTTTGAAGAAGAACTTTAGATTGCCCTGGCATAATGATATAGGGCATTTAGGGTAAGTTGTTTCCAGGAGAATTCTTGTTTCAGGCTGAAGTTCCAACTGCTAAGAGTCTAATACTGAGGCTTGGGAGAGAGGGAGACCTGCAGATCAGTGGATTAGTGCTCAGTCAGCTACTGGACTAGGTCAAGTTGTTTTCTGTCCTTTACAGAGAGATACCTAAGTGTGGATTGTAAGCAGTTTCTTCAGGTGGTCTTCTTTGCATTCCCAAATAGCTTAAGAACTGATGCTAAGAGAAGAACCCAGCAGTAGTATGTAATTTAATAACAATCAGTGCAGAAGAAGAAACCTGATTTTCCATTCTCCACCTTGAAGTTGAAAAATATTGAAAAATACATTTCAGTTACAGCTTTGGCTCACCTCTTCCAAAGTCACTGGTGACTGTGATGACCAGGCAATCTGTGGAGGGCAGTTTTGGCCTGGATTTTCACTGGGACTTGTGCCATAGTGCCAGGAACAAGTTAACCTTGCAACTTGTGAGCAGGAGGAAGGGAAAATCCAAACACCCATCTCAGTTCATAACACCAAGTTTTATGAAGTTGTCAGATGCCATGTCATTGGCAAAGGAGCATGTTCCCTGTACTCTGTTTTCAACAGGAACAGTTATTCCCCTCTGGAATCATTTACACTGCCAGGCATGTGAAGGAAATGCGTGGAAACAAAAGGTCAAGACGTCTGTTGTGGTGATTTGATGAGAAGAAGACAGAAAGCTTGAAACCATGGAAAATGGAGGCTAGGGAGGAACTGGGACAAAAGGTCTAAGAATGGAGAAGTAGAAGGTACTGACGCAACCCCCTGCTCATTGTATCAGTCAGCAGTTCTCCCAGGTCACCTCATCCTCCATCTTCTGTTGGTCTAGAGAAGTGTAGAAGCAGTGTTGGTTCCGGATGGAGATTGGTACCTGGCGTTCATATTGCTAGCACCCGTAAGGCTGCACCCCAAGATGATCTCTCTTGTATATGTGTGTGGATCCTGAGTGTTTCCCTGAAATCATCGTGTCTATCCAAGAGCCGTTCCTTGCTTCTGACCTAGATCGGAAGGGTAGCCTGTGATAGCTCTTTATCTAAGTGAAGCTAGAGATGCTGAGAAATCCTTCTTGATGCATTGTCTTTCTGTACAAAATTTCATGTATTTCTAGATCTGAGAATACTTGCTAGTTCATTAAAACTAATGATGCTGTGGGGAGGAGGAGTTGTATTAAGGATTAGCTTTCCCTGCCGATGTTTTCTTCAGTGTTAGTACGTTACAAACCATTGCAAAGTCCTCAAATGGAAAGAGGGTCAAGAAAGCTGAAACTGGAGCTTGAACATTTAGTTGATGACGATATTACAAGATTGCTCGTGGATTTCAGTGTGTAGCCTAGGCTGTAAGTGGTACTTCCTTGACAGTTAACTGAGATAGCAGGGATTACATAGAGAATTTTGTGTAGGAATGCCATTCAGCTGTTGTCACACAGAAGCACTGCAGAACCCTTCTACTAAGTATAAATGTGACCTTTGTTTTCTTCCATTTTTTACTGAGAAAGAAATAATATCATTTCTGCCTCTAGAATGGGCATGATGAAAATTTAAGACTTGCATTTTGCTTCAGTGATTTGTTGAAAATTTTCTATCATCTGCACCCTTGCTATGTAGCAGATCTCTCAGCAACCCAAGCAGAGACGAGGAAGTTTGACCAAAGGAGCCCCCACCAGGGTGTTCTCCTGGAAATGGAATCAGTGATTTAACATCACATCAACATCTTGTCTTCTAAAGCTGTTTTCCTGCAGTACCTCTGCATAGGAATCAAATTCTGATGTACATAATACACTTTAATAGCTTTTCTTTATCAAATTTTAATGTGCTGTTCTAACTATCTTACCTGTTTTTTCTGCAAAATTATGTCTAACTCAGAATGGGACATAGCTCAAGGAGACTTAATTATTAATGATATCGACCGGCTGTAAAACTTTACGTACAGAAGCACAATAGCATTGCCTATTGCAAGCTCTGTATTGTGTAAAACTAAATAAAGATCTTCTTTTCGGAACACCCTTTTCAGTTTTGTAGGGAAGGTATTCTGAAAATGCCAGGCACCGGCAGACTGCTCGCTTCTCCTGTTTCCTGACATGTGAGTCTTTGGGGGACAGAGCCAGCGTGTGTGGTTGTCCCACAGCAGCAGAGCGACTGTGCTAGGAGCTGCCCAGGCAAATGTCGCGTCCTGACGGTCTCCTTTCACTCAGGGCCCGGCCAGTGCTCCCTGCTGGGTGACACCYGGTGACCGAGGACAGGCCCGAGGGGCACGGAGCCACGGGAGCACTGGTGGCTCCGTGCCCCTCGGGCCTGTCCTCAGTGCTCAGCTGTGAGGGTCACATATGCCTGGGACTTGATATATGCGCCTCAAAGAATCTATTTTTCAGATACAAACACTCTTGTAAAAGGRCAGGTTGGTAGAAATCTGAATTGTGCGTCCTATAAACTGAGACCCTGCTGTGTTGTTCCCAGGCGAGGAAAGCTTTATTATAAAAATGATTTAGAAATGTGTTTTCTCTGGTGGAAGGGTTATGAAATGACTTCGAAACAAGAACATTACAATTGTCCCCTTGTAAGAAACAGTAAATACTTTTGTTGTTTTCCCAAATCAGTTAGAATGTCACAAATACTTGATAGATAAATGAACTTTAATTTTCTTTATCTGATAGCATGAAGGTACCACATTAAATTAGAATTCATAAAAAGCAGATGAGCATTTATGGGCATGGGTCACATCCCTTCTTTCCATACAGTTTTAATAAAAGCAAGAGGATGAATTTCTCCACAGGAGGAATTTGAAGAGATCTCCTCAAATGACAGTGCAGTTCTTGGACATTTTCCGGGGATAAAAGGTGGAGCCAGCTGTGGGAGATGTCATGCACTAAACTTCTTGTGGAGCAGGATTATGACACCACCGTTCCTGCATCAAGACAAGTTCTCACACGCTTCACACTTGCCACTTAGAAGTGAGAGATGAATGAAGGAATCGGAGCATTTCCTTTGCTCTAGATCTTACTTTAGAAAATGCTTCTTAGTATCGGGAAGCAGTTGGGAGAGTTGAGCTTTCATACAGGGGCAGCTCATGCAGAAATGCTGCATGACACRTATTAGAGTCGTTGTTCCCTGTGAACCTGCACTGCAGGTGGTCTTACTATTCCAGCAGTTACTACTTGTGGACGTGGTTAGAACTCTCAGAAAACGGCCACTAACTCAGCAATTCTTTGTATTTATCTTACTTTGGGCGTGCTATTAGCAGGGGCTCCCATGTCTGTTGATAATTCACGCTGATGGCCTCTACTCCGCTGAGCTAAGGGCCAGGCCCCTCAGGAGGGCGCAGCTCTGGGTGAGACGTGGTGCCGCAGGCCAGGCTGTAGAGGGCAGAGCAGCGCCGCTCAGTGTGCAGCCTCACTTCCCTTTCCACAGAAATAGTGCTCCATGCTCACCCAGGCTTCCTGTGTTTGTCTGCTGTGCGAGGAATAAACGGTGTCTCCAGATCTTCAAAAGAGGTGAGTGAAAGACCTCGATTTGGAAACGCCTCCAGAATTGTTTCTGTCTTTGCAGGAAAGCARTGTAGAGGGCTGGGAATGTTGCCTCGCTGTCTGAATAGCACGGTGAGCTCACAGGGAACTGTATCCTGCCCTTCATCAGCAATTAGCCAAGGCGAAGCTTTTAGGAAGGAGTTGAGCTTTAATGGGCTGCATCACGTGCATGTTCACAAGCACCTGCCTTCCTGCAGTGACCCACAGGCCACATGCTCCACTCAAACCCTTCAGATCCTTCCGTAGCCCATTAAGATTTGAGAGGAGATCTGATCAATATGTATAAATACCTGAGAGGAGAATGTRAAGAAGATGGGGCCAAACTCTTCTTGGTGGTGGCCAGTGACAGGACAAGGAGTAATGGGTAGAAGTTGCAACACAGGCAGTTCCATCTCCATGTGAGGAGGAACTTCTTCACTGTGAGGGTGACAGAGCCCTGGCACAGGCTGCCCAGGGAGGCTGTGGAGTCTCCTTCTCTGGAGAGCTTCAAATCCCACCTGGATGTCACCCTGTGCCCCGTGCTCTGGGTGTCCCTGCTGGAGTAGGAAGGTTGGACTGGATGATCTCTAGAGGTCCCTTCCAACCTCAACCATCCTGTGATTCTGTGAGGAGTGAAGGAATAAAGCAGAGTTATAGTGAATGTAAGTAAATATTATCTCCATGAGATTGTGTCGGTTTCTGTAGTCATGAATGTAGCCTTAATATCCAAAGAGGTGCGGATTAAAAGTGCCTTTAAGTAATAACACAAATCTAAACTGTAAAATCAGATATTGCCTATTTCACTGATAGAAACTATGACTGAATTTAGCTTAGTTAAGAGCACAGGTGAGCTGATAACTGTAACATTTCCTCATCTGCTTTTTTGACTTATTACCTTCTTTCTAACAGCAGAAATAGTTGAATAAAAAGTTAGTGTCAGATAATGATAATAGTAACAAACAAGCTTGCGTAGCACACTCGGAAAAGCTGCATGTGGAAAAGCGCTTTGGAAACATTTTGTCAGGCAGGAAATAAGCAGCTGATTTTTTTGTACTTCTAAATCAGAACAGGGAATACAAGCAGAAAAAACACCGTGTGCTTTAAGGAGAAATACAAGAATTTGCCAAAAGCAAGGGCAGCACTTTGTACWGGACGTGTCCTTCCTAGAAGCCTTCAAAGAGGACTGTAATTCTAGGGCTCTGGCCCAGAGTAAAAGGGGTGAGTGGCGGGTGATCTTGAAGTTTTTCTTGAGTTTAATGAAACCGTAATCCTTATAGCTTTGATGTTTATTCTAATGAACTGAGAGGCAGAGAAGACAGAGACATTTTCATACAGGTCAAACATATGCATAATACTGTAGCCCCAGGTACCCTAAATATGTCTATTGAAAAATGTGTTTATCTACAGAGGGGAAAAAATGTTAACTAGCTTTGAAAGGTATGGGGAGATTTGTGAAGTATCCGTAGAATTACTCAGTCTCTATTTAAAAGCAAGCAAAATTTGACCTCACTGCAAGATAATACAATATTTCTGATAGTAATTAAATACTGGAAACATGTTTTTTTAGTTAATGCAAAGAAGCTTTGGAATAGCCAGCAATCTGCCTGCGYCCTGAAGCCTGTGTCCTGATTGCACTGATGTAAACAGCTCCAGCAGGAAGCGGGAAGCAGCCACCACTGACAGGAAGATTGAATTTAGTATCAGACTCGTTATCCAGGCAGAGCAGCTGCTTATCAGGATGCTGCTAAGAAAAAGTCTATCAATTAGTACAGCAGAGCAGACTGGTCTGACTGCTGCCTGTGACAGCTGCTTCTCCCTGCCCACAAAGACCATTTACAGCAATATAAGCAGGGCGAGAAGGTTCTAGGAAGATATTGTAACCTGAGGCATTATCCAAATAAAAATACTTGCCACAGTRTCTTATGGTCTCACTCGGATCCGGTTATTACCACGTGCAGGAAGAGTTTGACTTGTGTGTTGAACTCGGAGGCCGTGTAGTTTTAAAAGTAGCACAGTTAGCRTTAGAGTTGTTTTCAGTCTTAGTTCTCCTGAAGATATCTAAGCTTTTGTTGAATTCTGATCATGGTCTATAGTATCTAGCTGATTAACATGTGGATTAGAGTTTTTATATGAGATGTGTGAAGTTAAGAAGCTGGCACACACCAATTTCAGCTGCCTAGAGGTAGAAGCTGTTGCGGGGTTTTGTTTAACCCTCTGTGAGTAAGTGGGGTTTCATGTCTACAAGTGAAAGATGTGTGGCTTCATATATTGTTTGACGTGTAATTGGTTGCTCATTAATATATGATGGACAATTCCCTTCGAATTCTGTCCATGTCTTGGGAGATCCATCTGCACGGAACCCATAGCACAGCAAGGCACCACTCAATCAAAACAGGCTTTTCAGCAGCTAAACTAAAGAAGATTTAGCACAAAATTGTGCCATCCTCTGCATTGATTTTTCTATGAATTACGGCTCTAATTTCGCTCCTCTGTAGTATGCTCCCCAAAGCATACTACAAAATGATGTCAAATTTTCTCAATACTTTATTGATGCCTTCAAGATGAGATTGAAACCTAGAAATGCCTCGGAAAGTATTTTTCAAGTAGTCTTTTGCTTTCATCTTCCACATGTGTATGAAACACCTCTTTCCTCTTTTATTCCAAGCTAGGTATGCATTTTGCTCAGTTCCAGTAAGGCAGGCTGGAAGCAATTACACTGTGAAATGAAGAGTGGCAAAAAAGAGTCTACCCYGTTTTGAAGGGTAATAAAATGTATCTGTCCCGCATAACTGCAGAGAGAACCTTCTGAATTTGTATTACAAAAACAGTTTAAGCCAAGAAGATACTGGGGATCTGYCTGTTCTGCAAACTGAGTATGTGCCCAGCTCATCACCCATCTTCAATATAGTGAGCACAGGAGACAAGGGGATGCTRCTGCCAGCAGTGTCAGCACCCAGAGCGTCTGGCCAGGTGCTTCTCACAGTGCTTGCTAGTGTAAGCTAAAATCCTCAGTTGCTCTATTTTTGCAAAAGATTTTTTTTTCCAAGAAAAAGAAAGTAAAGCTAAAGCATGAGAGTATTACTTCTTTATACAGAGTATGGTTGTGAAGTGGACAATTTCCAGATGTCAGGTTGTTTCTCATAGCTTGCAAAAACAATTTGCCATTCAGAGTTCTTGGTCAGCTCCTGGTGTTCTGTTATCCCAGATATTTTTAGACTCTATCATAGGGCAAATGATACCTTCAAATAGGGTGGAAACAACCAGTTAACAGGTGCCTCACAAGACCGAGCTCCTCCTCAGGTTTGCCCCAGCACGTTCTCACTTCACTGTTCGATTCAGCAACAGAGAACTGAGCAGCTACTTTCCTTTTCTGTCAGATGTTGTAAGTTACTCTTATTTCCTGTTCTACTATTTAAAGGACTAAGGTCAAAAAAAAAAAAAAAACAAAAAAAAAGAGTTCATTAACATGTCTGAAATGAAATATTTTCCGACCTTTCTACAGTCATGTTTAAATTAATTATATAAGTGCAGCCCTGGAAGGCATCTCTGCAGACTGGGCTGTGCTTCCTGCCCCGAGGCAGGGTTCCCTGCACCYGGAGGATGTGCTGATGCCCAGAACAGGCAGCTTGGTGCCACCAGAATCTCCCTCCAGTTTGGGCACAGCGTATTTCCACGGGGAGAGATCAGGAGTGCCTGTGCCAGCTGGCCAACCTGTCCCAAGAGTAACAGGAGGAACACCCCTCTCTACCTCCTACCTGACGGTTTGGCCGGTATTTTAACCAAGAATAGAAGCATGTGGGAGAACGTGGGAAAATTGCAGTAAGCTAACAGTGATATTTTGGGACTGAGCCCCTTTCTGTATTTCTGACAGTCTCCTCTTAACATGTTCACACTTAAACCGTTTAAAAATAATACATCGCTTCCCACACTTCTTTCTTTCCTGTCTACTGCTGTTTTCTTTACAGGCTTGAAAATATGCTTGTTTGTCCTTCAAAAATTCTTATCTCAGTCTGGGAAAAGTTCAGGGCATGCTTGCAATGCAAACTTTGAGGAAGTACATATTTTTCTGAATGAGTCTAACCAATTTAATTGCCGTGTTTTACAAATGTCCTTCCAAACTTTTGATGGAGAAAGAGCCTGCTGCTCTTAGAGGCACAGTCTAGTACCGCAGGCTCTCACGTAACTTTGGAGCCCAGGAGGTCACGGGCTGCATGTCAGAAGTCCCAGAAGGCAACTAAGAAAAGCAAGCCTGTGGTCAGCAGCCTTTAATTTGCCATGCAGGAGTCTGTTCTAGTGCTGGAAAAGAAATACTTAAGGGCTTGCGGGTTGACAGGAAGGTCTGAGAGCAACTCCACGAGTCTGGGCAGCAACAGCTGCCGCATTTGTCAAAATACAGAGTGAAACTCTTGCCGAAACGCAGAGGTGTTTGCAGGAAAATCTTTTCACTCTAATGTGTTCTGAGTCAGCACGAGGCTGTAAATCGCAGCCCGTCTCCGTGGCTCGTGGCATCATCTTCAGGGTTGCCCCAGCCCATTCTGCTCAGTTTTGACCCAACGGGGCCGTGAATGTGAGGCAGAAACATCACAGGAGGCGGGAGCGGGGTCGCTCTTGGGGACCCTGGGGCGCAGGGCCCCGGAGAGCCGCGGATTCCCCACCACGGAGCAGGGAGAGGGGCCGGGCCCGAGCGCTGCRGGGAGCAGCCTCCCCGCACGGCCCCCTGTGCTGGTGCCGCTCCACACATCTCCTGAACACAGAGACTTCATTTGATTCATGAAACAAACCTTTATCAGGAAAACAGCGTCAGGAACAGAGCGGTTTTGACAGGCGCCGGTGATAAAACAAGGTTGGCGGCCGTTAAACCTTCCCACCCTCCATGCAGCCCGAAGTGTGATTACGTAACGGGGATAAGCATGGCCTTTCCTTGGGGCATTAACCCGCTTTAAGGGATGAGGCGGCCGTGCAGGTGGTCACCGCGGGAAGGGGAGCAGGACGGTTCAGCAGAGCCGCGCTCCCCAGGGCGCCGGAGCCTGAGCTGTGTCCCGCACGGAGCCGTGTCCCTCGGGGCTGCGGCCGGCCCTTCCCGGGAGCCGTTCCCTGAGAGCGGCCCGGAGGCCGCGCGCCGCGGGCGGGCACCGCAGGGAGCCCACGGCCGGGCAATGGGATTAACGCAGATCTGCGCCGGCGGGGAGCCCGGAACAGAACACGCACAAAAGCCACCAGAACGAACACAAATGCCATTTGTCGCCGTTACGTCCCACGGCGTTGCGCCGGTTTGCCAGAGATCCCCGCGGAGCAAAGCTCTGCACGGGCCCTCCAGCCGGTTGTGCCGCTGCGGAGCCGCTCTCCAGCTGACGGAGAGCGCGTAGTGCCGCTRTCACCGGTGTGATAACGTCCTAGATAAGGCTGGGGACCCCCACCTGCGAGCAGGACAGTGCCCATGCAAGTGGGGAGGCAAGAGGGGAGTAACAGCAGGCTCGTCCAGCAAGGGTTTTGAGGCTCCCACAGGTCTGCTCGCTCCTTTCCTTGCTTTGTGTTTCCTAGGAACAGCACTGGCAGCCCCCAGTCCTCCAGGTTTCCTTCCTACAACACTGAAATTAATGTAGTTTCATCACTGATTCCCGTGTTCCAATGTACTGATGGACACACGGGGCTGGCACGTGTCCCCCCTCAGCTGCCACCGCCRCGAGCTTCTGGGTTCCTGCACTAAAATTGGCTTCGCTTTTGACAGAGTAAAGCCAGGCTCAAATGGAGCTAGCCTGTAATTGCACATAGATGTGGACCCACATCCTGTAGAAACCGTCCTTGTATTTATCAGTGATTAAAGGCCACACACACAGGTTGCTGTGTGTTAAGGCCTCCTAAGGAAATCATGCGTTTGAGCCCTAAACCATCCTAAAACAAGGCACAGCAAGCACACTTGGCGCCAGCCTCCCATGGGGAGTAGCTTGGCAAGTGCTGGAGAAGCAGCATCATTGCTGCTGCTTTTAGTTTAGAACCTGCTGGTTACATCAAACCAGCTGCGTTGACTTTGCATCGTGCCTTTAAGCTCTGTCTAGATTTATCCTCAGGAAGCCAGAAAAAAAGAATATTCCTACAGACCTTCAAACTCTCCTCGGGAAACTAGTTTAAAAATTGTGCCTTAAGAGCTTGTCTAAATGTAGAATTGCATTAATTCAACACAAGCTGTGCAATTAAACAGATTTAGGCTCTTGCAAAATGCTGTGTGCACACTCTTGCTTGCATTTTAACCAGATTTCTTTCACATCTGCTTCCGTCAGTGCTTGCCCCAGCGGTTTTCCTTGTGCGCTTCCTACACCTCCAGGCGGCTCCCCAAAACCCCTGAGAAAAGCAGTGTGGCAACAGGTTTAAATTCCACCCGGGTAAGCACTGGAAAATATCTGGGGAGATCAAAACCCGCTCGTTCCTGTAGCTAAATGCAACAAAAACCCAATGCAGAGCTCGCCGGGGGCTCTCGCTGCCTCCGGGCACCGTGTGGCCCCTGCAGGGTCCCTCTGCCTAGTCCTGCGTGGGGTCGTTGCCCTCCCAGGTCGTGCTGGGAATCGGGGAATCTCTCCCAGCTGGTGACTGTTGTGGGGCTCCTGGAGCCACGTGGCCAGCACAGGGAAGCGCTCACTGCAGCTGCGTGATGGTCTTGCTGAAGTTTCCTTCCTTTTGGATTCTTTTTTTCTTTYGGAAAATCCTTTCGGATTTTCACCTTTCAGGTAGTCTGCAAGAAGAAAAACAAAAGAAATCTGCTTTTCCTTGCTCCAGCTGCTTCCCATCACGTGCTTGTTGAAGCCAGGAAAAGGTCACCCTGCGCACGTGAGCACAGGGTCACTCAAGGACACGGAGGGGTGCACAGGCCATTGCATGCTCCGCCAACACGAAARCTGCAGGACTTTGGAAAACGGATTTTTTAGACACATTTTAGAAAATTACATACAGGTTTGAGCTATTCCCGATTCCTAACAAGCAGTACTCTGCTTGCAGAAGGAAAACTCAGGTAGTGTAGGAGTGAAAGAAGCCTATAAAGCTATAGGTCTGTGCTT